TAGGAAACTTTTAATTAAAGTCCATGGATGATGACATCATCCCTCTTACACATAGAGAGCTATATGAACAGGTTGTTGTGAGGAAGAACAACCTTCAGAACACGACCAAAGAGCCTGAAAAACCCACTACAACTAGCAGATCCTGGCCGTGAAAGCCTTCTCGAATACATTATATATAAAAGGCTTAAGGCCAGTTGTATGCACAACTATGTAAGTTTCATACCACTTTAAAACCTCAGGCTCTATCCTAATGAATCACGAGGGTGGTAGTCCTGCTAGAGAGCCCAGTCTAGGCATTCTGTTGAACTACAGTACTCCAGCTGTCCAGCAGAGTGGATCCCAAGCTTCCAGAATTATTGGTTCTGCTAGTTAGAGGTTCTGGGTTAAAGGTGTATCAAAGAGCTAAAAATGTATAGTGCAGATCTAGTCTGATAATTCTGTCATTCAACTTCCTGTCGGTTCTCAGATATTCTCCCACTAAGCCTTTTCTCAGGAAAATCCATGCCCTCTACCACTCTCTCCATGCTTCCCTGGAACCCTTTACTTCTTCTCCTCACTTGAATAAAAAGTCCCCATTACATCCTAATTGTGAACTGAAATCAGAGTCCTCCCACGTTCGTGTCTGCGAGAGTTTTCCATCTGAAGGGCCCAAATCAGCCAAAGTCTAGAGAGAGAAGATATTCACTCACCTCCCTGCTTCAAATGTGAACCAAGTTGAATCCCGCCCATATCGCCGGAGGGCACTTAAAGGCCAAGAGACGAGTTTGACTCTGGGATTCTGGATGTCCCAAAGACAGATATTTTCAAACGTTATCTGTAAGGTACATTCTCCGTGCACATCTAAATTAGGAGATGGCATCAAATACACATTGAATCTCTCTGGGAGAAAAACAAAAGATTTAGACTAAAATCTTTGTTGAATTAAAAGACTGCAGGCATTATACAATCATATCAAAATATCTGCATATTCAGTGGCATTTTTCAGTGCCTAGGGTACTTGATCATGCTTGCCCATTCCCTCTAATTTTTAGCCTTACTGGCTGGGACTCTGCTCTTCTCATGAGCAACTCCATCCCCATGACTCCGCTCCCCAACCATGAAGGGGTGCACCTTAGAACCTTGCTCAAAACAGTTTGATAAAATGAGAGAACTATTCTAAACTGAATGATGGGTGGAGGGTTACAATTTTGGATTGTATAATTTCAGTTTGCAGGGAAACTCACAGTTGTGAAGAGCCACCAAATTTTACATAAAACACTATTGCATGCAGAAAATGAGTACTTCATGTAGACCTCTGCCTGAGGTAGTAGTGTATTTCATGCACAAAGCTCTGGGACAAATCTAGTTAGCCCTAACTAGGTTAAGCCCATTCAAGTGCTGTTTAGTCAACATGTAAAAAGCAAAGCAAAGTGTGCTGCTTATATACTGCCCCATTCAAGCACTTTCTGGGCGGTTTACAACTGAATTGTGCAGGCTACACATTGCCCCCCCCCCCAGCAAGCTGGGTACTCATTTTACCGACCTTGGAAGAATAGAAGGATAAGTCAACCTTGAGTCGGCTACCTGGGATTGAACCCCAGGTTGTGAGCACAGTTTTGGCTGCAGTACAGCAGTTTAACCACTCTTCCACAAGCCTCTTAAAATGGAGTTTGTCTTTGATGTGACACTCTGACTTACTTTTTCTCCAGTACAAGGAAATATCTCGTACTGCAGTGCCTGTTTCCTACACAAGAAAGCTCCACTAAAACCCACAGCACTGAAAAGTTAAAAATTTTGTACTATATTTCTCATAATCACCTAGTAACCATGCTGGTTGGGGGATTCTGAGGGTTGTTCTTTTTTTATGAAGTAATTTTTCCCAGAACTGGAAAAAATGTACCAAGAGGAACATCATACCATGAATGAGCTCACAAATTATGAGAGTCATGCATCCATAAATACTGAAACAGATGAGTATCCTTAGATAAAGTGTAACCCCTATAAAATACTGGTTCAACCCAAAGGGGTAGGACTAAGAAAAAGCAGGGCTTTAAGAGATTTGAATCATAAAGAGCAGGAGAGCTGAAGAGGCTAGAGCTGCCATTGCTCCTTAGACTGTTAAGGCCCTTGCCAACTTGGTCTAAGTGTTATATGTTTGTGTTGGACTGCTGGCTCCACATAGTGAATTCATGTATATGCAATTGAATTTATTTTTTATTCTAAGGTTTTGGAGACTCTGCATGGGGAGCTTGTATGTTATGTAACATCTTCTGTGTTATGGATACCCACTGAGGAAGGTATCTTAGATTTTTGTCTGACCCTTTGCAATTCTACAAGCTACTTCTGTATTGGTACCGTTGCTAAGGAAATGCAGTTCTACAAGCAACTTCTGTATTGGTACCGTTGCTAAGGAACTGGGTTCACAAATTATAGCATTTTGTTGTTGTTAGAATTGCTGGTGTTACCTGATACATAATTGTGAATAAGAAGAGTCTCAATTAGTGAAATTGTGTTTGCAAGGTTCATTAATCGAAGTCTGTGTAAACAACTATCACCACAGAACTCAAAAGTGTTACAAAAACAACCCATGATATATCATGAAATCCTGCTGCAGCGCAAGTGAGGAGAATTCAGTGTTCAGCTGCTAGTGACCACACATTTTTGTAACATGTGGTTTTAGGGTTAATTCTAATTGCTAGTGTCTTCTGAGACTATCTGCTTTATAGTCATCTGAGATGCTTTCACACGTGTGTGAGGCACACTGCAGACCAAATGAAATCTGTATGACGAAATCATGCCAAGTGGCAGAGTATTAGTACTGAAGCTCTTGTGCTTCGTTCCAAGTGATCCTGACCCTCAAAGTAGATTAATACTTCTGATCAGTTCCCACTGTCAATTTTCCAATATGCATAGAGAGCGCAAACACACGGACAATGTCTCTTATACTACCTTGAATTAAATCAAGGCGCATGGAGGTAGAGTACAGGTCAGGGAGCCCATGAACGACCTCTGGGCCTGATCTGGCAAACTGCATCGAACTGCCGAACTGCAGTAAGTGCCCCTCTCTATTATGAAGTCATTGTGGGCATTTGCTTTTAATGCCATAATTCCTATATCAATTTCTTCTTCTAGTATACCAATCCAGGACTTGGATTTACACCAATGGCCTTAGCTGGCAAGTAGGATTATGGCGCAGAGACCCTGGCTCATAACATACTGCTGAATATTAGTATATGAAAAACGTGGATGTAAATATAGATTTGTCACTGGTTAGTTAAACGGTTCAGTTTCTACCTTCCCCTTTAACAGCTCCAATTCCATTTTTTTTAATTTCTATTTTTCATTTCAACTCTCCAACCTCACATATATATATGCACACTTCCACAAGGAAACCACAGATCGTAAACAAGATCACAGGGAAAAATTTAACACTGTTGTCCTAGCCCTACAGTCTTGGAGTATTTCTGGATTTCATGAGCCCATGGCAGAGGCACCCTGAACATTTCTATTTGTGGCTGTGTATAAAACGTCTCTACTTACCACTTTGTTCCCTCTCTACGCCGGAAGCCAATAGGTCAGGTTCTCCCAGGCTAATATCATTAATCTGAGTCCCCAGGCACTCTACTTGCAAAACTTTACACCATTCATCAGCTTCCAGCTCTGCATATAAATGACCAAAAATTTGCATGTTGGTGTGGTACATTTAGTCTATTTACTACTGCTGCAAAGTAATATTTTAAAAATGAAAGGGGAAAAAAGGGGGGGAAATGATACCCACCTGATTCACAAGCAAATGTCTTGGATGTGTCATCGTTAAAATAGATCCCTACAGCATGCTTCCTCGTACCTTTTGGCAACCGCAATACATTCTTCACATGATTCAGTTCTGTAACCTGAAATGGACACAATGAAAATTAAAAAGCAGCTTCTTGCCATTCTCTGTGAGATCGTTGTACAAAGAGCATTGTATACAACAGGCTTGCATAACGTATGATTCACTGAGATGAACGCAAGTCATGAACCATGTTTGACAACCCAGTAGGGGGCAATACATTTCCCGGTTCTGCTTCCAACCTCAGATTGGAAAAAAAACAAAACAAAAGGGGGGGTAGTTAAAGTAACCAGCTTTTCCCGGTTCTGCTTCCAACCTCAGATTGAAAAAAAATAAAATAAAATAAAAGAGGCGGGGGGGAGTTAAAATAACCAGCAGGCTTGTACATTTGGCAGATCACATGTTTTTCAGGCTTTGGTTGGAAAAAGTGAACAATGCAAATACAGCACAGTGGTTGAAATCCACTGAATTTGGCGAGTCAACTCCTCCATCATCATCATCTTCGAATGGCGGGGCTGGAAGGGACCCTATGCATCATCAAGTCCAGCCCCTGTCAAGGAAGCATAGTGGGGAATCGAACTCCTAACCTCTGGCTCTACAGTGAGAGACCTAAAACACTGAGCTATCAAGAAGTCCTGTTGATTCAATGGACCTATTCTAGTTGTGACTTACTACTGAATTTCAGCCATCAAGCAAATGTGTGAAATGGATAAAAGGGGCAGAGCAGACAAGGTGGATTAAAGTAAAACAGGTACTGAGGTAATTTATTAAGATAACTAAATCAGAAAATTCAGTATTAGGCTGTCTCATTTCCACACTAGTTCTATGTAGGTATGCAGGAAAGAACACCATGTCTGAGTAGCTGGTAAAACAAGACAAAGCAGTCTTCTGAAGTCTGCTATGCAGGAGAGGGGCATTTCTATTCCTGTCCCCAGACTTTGGAACTCCCTCCCACTGGAGGCCAGGCTAGTCCCATCTTTGCTGTCTTTTCCCAAGCAGGCAAAGACCTTTCTCTTCAATGACTGCCTGCCTGTGTGGGGTTCTGCACTGAATATGTGTTGATGTTGTTTCCATTTGTCATATTTTTCTTTGGTATTTGTTAGATCCTTTTTAGTATTTGTATACTTTTTTTTCTTTTTGCTTTAAATATTGTCTTATAATGATGTAAGCTGCCTTGGGTTCTTCTTAAGGAGGAGGAAGGGATAGAAATGTTTTAAATAAATAATAAATAAATGACCACAGAACAAATGAAACAGCTGGCAAGCTACAATTTGCTTATACATCAGACCTGATCCTCTGAGCCTCACCCATATTTTATAAATATAAATTCCTTTCCTCCAGTATAGGAGTGAGGAATACATTATCTCAATACAAACTTTTTAGGGTTCACATTACTCACAAAAGTGAGCACAGCCTGCAGCTCAAGGTGGCAGAGCTTGCAAAACGGGCAGAAGGTGAAACTGAGGCAAAATTTCTGGAATAAACTTGCAGAATCCTTCGGCCAGCATGGATACCCAAAGGTGTACATGAAACCTGCTTAAGGTCCATGTCTGTTATAGTGATTAGAGTGATCAGTGCTTCAGAGCTTGATTGTAACTAGTTATATATCATGAGTTACTTTTAATTAATTTATTTCTAATTTCTAATTTAATTTCTAATTTCAAGAACCAAACCATAGCTAAGTTCTGTTATGAATAGAGATGGTATTTGTATTCGTGGGGCCACTCTTCGACCTGGCAGAGAGGCTTGTCATCTCGCCTCCTGCCAGGAGTGGCTAGCCGATCGCGAGCAATGGAGTGATAGGACACTAGCGTGGAGCTCGCAGCAGCAGCGAATCAGTGAGTGGACCGTCTGGCACCATGGGGCCATACCCTTGTTATCTCCACCTATGCAGGGGTATTCGTATACATATACGAATACACCCATTTCTAGTTATGAATGCAACATGACAAGGTGCATTTTGACTTTTTTGTTGTGTAGCTTTCAGTGCTTTTAGCCAATTTTTATAGTTACAGAATGTGTGGCTTTACAACTCACGTGTCTTTTGTACCACAAACCAGCAGCTGGTTGCATTCTCATGTGTACATTTGCAATTTACTTTAAAAAAGTAAATATATATATTTGTGACTAGTAAATAATAAGAAAGTAAAGAAATCCATTTTTGAATGTGGCAACTATAATTGCAGCTAACTACGTAGAACTGGAACTGTAATTAAATAAACTTTTCAAAGCATTGCAGCTATTTCTCATATTTATCACTGGAGACAAAAAACAACAGACAGCTCTGCTTCTAGGTTACCCAAAGCATCTGCCTGAAGATCTAATTGAGTAAAATCCCTCATTTCCAGTTATTTTTGGCTATCTCAACTGGACAAGACACCTAAATAAGGAATTGCAAAACACCCGTGAGATTCCTTATCTTCAATCAAGGGCAGGAGAAGGGGCTGTTTTTTCCAGTTAACCCCCCCATAACTATAGAAAAGTGTCTATGCAGAATAACGTCTCTTCCCTCTGCAAAGCAAAGTACTGTACACATACAAGCCAAGAAAGACTGATTGGCTGTTAAAAATATGCAAGCAACCCATCCAGTGTTTCAGATTTGATAATATCCATTAAATAAAACAGAAGACATCCTAGTGTTACACAAGGCATGCCATACTGTGCAAAACATTCCTCACCCCTGTGCAAGAATAGTATCGAGAGACTTTGCAGATTCCTCACCATCCTTACTGGGGAGAAGAATGATATAATAGTTCCTTATCTTCATTTGGAAGGATGGGACAAGCAACAATTTACATACATCCTTTCTGAACAGAATGCCGGTCAGGCAGAGCGACTCATTGTAGGCAAAATGAGTCAGCAATACAGCTCTGTCAAGTGAAGGAGTGCAAACTGGCCATAGAAATGAAAAAAGAAAAGAGTTGCATGGGACAAATAGCCTACTCCCAGCCTCCAAAGCTTGCCAGCTGTCCTCAAACTGTCCTTACTAATATCAGTTACGATGCCAAGTCAACTCAGCTTCTACCCATTCAATGGGAAATCTATCCTATCCTTTGCCCCGTGCGGCACCATTGCTTGAATCATGTCTAAAGGAACGCCACAGAACTGTGATACAATCTCAGATAGCTTTCTTTATATTCTTAAAGGTGGGATACAGAGATGATTAAAAATATACCCATAGATATAGTATTTAAAACTTGCTTTCTTGCATATTTCCATGTACGTAGGCATAGTTCCGTGCATAGTTAGCCATGGTATTCCTGCCCGGTAATTATACTTGGAAGTTGCAGGACAGCTTAAATCTGAAATCTTTTTGTCAAGTTGTCAAGTTTTTGTTTTGTTTGTTTTCAAATAAAGAAAACTGTATGTGACTGAAATTATTAATGGCCTGCGATGGCTTTATAGTGTTTAGGAGGGAAAGAAATAATAAAAAGAGAGGATGTTATTCAATTTATTCATATTATCAATTCATTTTTAAAGGTCAGACATGAAAGAGCAACCACTCTGCCAAATTCCAAAAGGCAGAGCAATATATATCAACATGCATTTTGCAAGCCTCAGCTCCCATTTAAAACTTCAAAGTTCATCTATCTGAAGAGCAAATTTTGTTTTCATGGGCTTACTTTTGCTTCCCATATGTGCACTTCACAATGGCATCCACTCATAAAGCAGACAATAGAGACTGTTCATCTCCCTGTGGTCATTATCTATACTGCCAAAGGTCCTGATCTGATACTGCCAATATCAGGAAATGCTAATCTGTATAAACACGAGCAGTTCTGTTCATCGTAACAGCTATGTGCACATGCACAAGTTTATTGCAGTTTATTATGCTAAGAGTTTAAAACTGTATGTGACCAGAGATGAGGTAATGCTTATGTTCCTTATTTGAAAGCAAGGGGAAAGAGTAATAGATGGGAAGGGGAAGGTGGCGATCCCTGCTGGAATCATTCTGAAGTACTTATCTATGTTATTTTTCTATAGAAACGTGTTTAAGAAATGTAATAGTCTGAAGCTTTGAACCAGAATGTGGCTTTACAGTGAACTATAAAAAGAGCAATTGCGGTGAGACCTCTCAATTAAGTAATTAGCAGCACTAAGCTTTTCCTTCACAATAAAAGGGCCTTCCCACATGATCCACAGCTTACTGTGTTTGACAGGATTCAGGACTAGCACTCAATGTCCCACATTAAAATCATAGTGCTTTGCTTCTGTATGTCCCACTGGGCCTGAATATCATGGCCCAACTGCCTATGTCAACAAAACATCACTCAGATACACCCACTGTCTTTACAATAATGTATCACAACTAACTGCATGGGGAAAAGCCCGTTCAAATTGTTTCAGCTTGAAAAAGTAGAAGTCCCCAGTGGGAGAGGTCCAGACTTTTTTGGGAACGAAAAGAGCTGGACAAATTCAAATCAGCCTCTAAATCCTGAGATCAGTAAAAAAAATATTCCAGATTCCCCTGTTTTATAAACTGAGCAAATCCCCATGATCTTTGACCATGCAGTCACACTCGAAGTTGAGGAAGGGAAACGGAAGAGCCCTGTTGATTATTATATAGACCAATTCAGTTTAGGTATCAATTCGACACTTCAGCTGAGGGCCTTACTTGGTTTTGAATGCTCTGGACCCTACCTGATACTAGCTGGATCCTGAATCTGAAACATAATTCAGAAATTGCAGACCCAAAGGCTTCCCCTCACTTGAACATGCAAGTTTTTTTAAAAAATGTGCTGCCACCCCACCACTGAGGAAAAAATACCATATTTTCTGTGTATAAGACGCCCCCATGTATAAGACGTCCCCCCACTTTTCTAACCCCAAAGTAAGAAATCTAAGTGGAGCTTAGCAAGTGTAGAGTGGAAAAGATCAAAGCCCTGCAGGATCACTTTGATCCCTGCTTTCGCTTCCACTTGTTTTTGTTCTCTACTCAGCTTACTTCCATGTATAAGATGACACTCAATTTTTATTCTAAAGATTTTAGACAAAAGTATAGTCTTATACATGGAAAATATGGTATTCCTCTACACCCTATGTAGTATGAGACAGGGAAATAAAGATTTTAGACATGGAAAAATATGGTATTCCCCTACACCCTATGTAGTATGAGACAAGGAAGAGAAAGCTAGAAGACTTAGGGAGTACTCTAGGTTGTGGGCAATGCACTATGCAATCAATATAGCATCAGAGCAGGAGCAAGCCTCATGTGACTAATGCCCACTGTAGGATGGGAGAGGCAAGAAAAAGCAATGGGGAGTGAAGCAGTGTCCTTCCTCTGCAGCAATACCCAAGGCAGTTCAGTGGTAATGGCAGCAAGTTTGCTCTGCTTAATGCTGGGCAGAAAGCCCAAGAGAGGGGGAATCCAAGTGGCGAAGGAAAAAATTCAAAACTCACAAGGAAGCAAAAAGAAGAAGGGATAAATGAGGAGTCCTAGTGTGCTAAACCTTAAGCCGAATCAGTCTAAACTCAGACAAGAACGGAAGCACCCTATGCAGTCCCACACCACCTGAGTCCTAAACGAAAAGGGAAACTATCTCTAAACCAGGGAATGTAGACCCTGCCCTAACATGGCCAACATGAAACCAAAATAAACAGAAATGCAACGTGCAAGACAATGTAAAGCAGAAGTGACCTCACACAGGGACTCGTCCCCACCATCTCAGTGATTAGAGAGATCAATCAGGGGTGTAAGCTGTTGCAGCAAATTTTTGCCAGTTAAAAGCAACTTTGTGCTTTTGCTCACAACAACTTCCCGCAGAAGATGTTACAACTTTGTGAAGCAACTTCTTTTGCTACAGAAATTTGGGTGGAACCTGAACAGCTTCTTTTCAGACAAATGTTATGCACAGGGAATGATTGTAGAATAAGGATTAATGGCTTGCTACAAACCTTGGGTTTCAGATAACTGCTTATACTCTTGATTATGTACACGTAATTTTAAAAAAAATAGGAGAGAAGGACTATATAAGAGGATTGCATCTTATATTCAGGTTCTCATTCACATATCTTTCAGAGCAATGGATATACCATGCTACTTCGAATGACTATGCAGAGTGGTAGAGAGAAAAAGACATACGATTTATATCAGTAATTTGCCAGCTTAATATCCTTACAGATGACAAACCTTCTACATGGAACCAACATTTACTGCTCTGTATAAACTTCCCATGCAATCCCTATAGGAGATCAAATAAGGAAAATATTTTTAGTCTCTTTCCATGGCTTTTGAAAATGGCTCATTTAAATTTTCAATAAACTCTATTCCCAGGCATGACAAGCACAGTAAATATGCATTAGAGAGAGGTAGATGGGAGCACACAGATGAAGTGGATTCACATTCAGTATTCTGGTGAGGACTGTCCTTTAAATACTTCTTAAGCCAAATAAGAAACTATCAGGTACCAAAGGCTTATATTTTTGTTTCTGGGCTCTTCGAATTTTGGCAGACCGAAGTCTTAACTCATCAACATAGTAAGCTGTTACCCCGAGAGATTAAAAATTAAAGAATTGATTACTGTCATCATGGAATCAGAGGAAATTACACATGTACCTTCTTAGACAGAGTGAAATCAGTACACCAATCAAAAGTAAACAACAACAAAACTTGGCTAATTTATAGCTCGGCAATACTATTTATGTAAACAGGCAGGAGGAGTTGGTGGAGAAGGTTTGTAGTGGGGCAAAGCTACTTTCAGATCCTCATAGAATGAATAGAGAATCCATATTGTCCAGGTTAGGCCTGTGGACTAGAAGTTCCCAACCCCTGTATTAACAAAGAAATTATATCAGATTCATTGATGTAGCACCTAATAGACTTGAGTGTTCACGGAGCAGGAAATACAGTTCTTGCATCTTGTATTTATGTGATAGTTGACACCATCCCCAGACAGACTGACTGACAATGCCAAGATTGTGTTTCCTGCTTCACCCAGTGGTAGCTAGGAGTCCTTATAACCTTTGTGTTGGCATTGCTGGGTAAATGTATTTGGAAATACATACGGAAAAAATGGCTTCTCTTACAGCCCAAATCAGTATATCTAAGGAATCATCCAAAGACTTTCGCGCGATCACCTGACCTGTCTGGAGGCAGAACACAGTTTGCACAGATTTTCATAACAATTACTAAGAATTCATCCTCCATCAATTCCTAGGTGCTCCTTTAAATCTGACTTGCCATCTCCTAACTGAAATGGATCCTCCATCTGTGACCTTACAGCATGCCAACAGTCACTCTGGATCCTTTCTCTGTCTCCTGATCCCCATTTCCCCCATCTACCAATAAAAATGAATGTTAAGTACAACAACAGAACGAACAAGATCCTTCTATCAGTATCCTTCTCAAAAACAGTAGCTATTTGTTTCTCTCATGTTGTGACTCGCATTCTTGGGCACAGTAATTGCTGGGACATGGAAGATCTCCTGACCTGTGGTAACTCCAGCCCAAGGGGAATCGTCTAGCAACACATGAGGGCAAAAGCACCCTCCATCTTTTGTTTCCCAGCAACTGATACATGGAGACATACCCCAATTGACACTGGAGGTGCCATACAGCCCTCTTGACTAGTAAATACTGATGGACTTAACCTCCATGAATTTTGAATCCATCCACGTTAGCACCCATCATTACACTGAGCAAAGTAAATTCCATAGTTTCGGTATGAGCTCTGTAAAGAAATGCTTCCTTTTATACATCTTGTATAACTTTTGTAATGAATTCTTCTTTAAAAAAAAAAGAAAAGCAAGTTACACGTTAATTTAGTTAGAAAGGCTGCCTTCCTTTTATACATCTTGTATAACTTTTGCAATGAATTCTTCTAAAAAAGAAAAGCAAGTTACAGGTGAATTTAGTTAGAAAGGCTGCAAAATGTTGAATTCCAATGTAGGTGTCACTGGCGATGCGAAAGATGAAACCAGAGGGAAGAGAAAGCTGTGACTCACGCCCATTATGTTCCTTTCAATGGTTCTTTGCTACAAATATAATTAGCTGGATTTGTGCCACAGATACAGTAGCTGTCGCAGTCATAAGGATTATAATTCTCAATTAGAAAAGGTAGGAGGAAACTGGGTATCATCAGACATTCCTTACCTTATGATAGCATCTGAAGTACGCAGCACGTTCATCTGAGAACTTTTCCATTCTTTTGGGCCCTTTGCTTGATGCTTTCTTAAAGACCAACCAACATCTCTGATAAATCTAGAAAAACAAACACTTTTTAAAGAACAATTTCTGCACCACTTATAGTTATTTTAAACATCATGTGTACATGTATGCATGTATGCATGAAATCATGTCTGATTCCACTGATTTTAGTGGAACATAAGTTCACTTAAGTGGATATCAGACACAAGCCAATGATTTCAAATCACGAGATATGGAGAACTCAATAAATATTGCAGAATGGCTTTAAGATTTTTGACATACTGCCATCTAACAGTGACCACTGTCATGTTCTGCTCACTCAGAGTGCAAAGATAAAGAACACAGCCAGTTAATGGAACAATGACAAATTATTCCCAATGTTGCTAAATCCACTACTATTGTGTTGTATTTTAATTGGCTGGTTTTTACTTAATTAGTTATGATGCATTTTTTGAAGCTGGTGTAGCAAGCCAAAAGATCCATAGTTGATATTTCTAAGCTATGGACATGGTACATGGCAACTTATGATTTCCCGACATCAGTCACAATGCACGACACGTAGTGGGTAAAATCCAGCAGTAAGTCATGACTCAAGTAGGCCCACTGAATCGATGGAACTTATGGAAGAGTTGACTCTCCTGATCCCCACTGATTCAATGGGCCTGCTCTAGTTTCAGCTTACTGCTGGATTTCGGTCAGTAACAATTCAGGCTTTCTGAATGATTACCATGAAGAACGTTGATGTCTCTGAGGAAAATAATGATGTAATCATCTCTCATCATTGACAATATGGACAATGCCCCAGTTTTTTTGCACATCACTAGTTTCCCAGATCTAGCCTATTACAACAATGCTATTCAAGATAACTTGAAACCAGAAGTAAATCCAACTATTTTATGGGAACTTAAACACAAGAAATAGTGTACATCAGGCTGGACAACTAGTGATTTGGCAGTAAGTCACATTCTATCTTCTGTTCATCACTAAACCAGAGGCCAAATCATTTAGGAAGCAAGACAAGAACTTCATTGTGTCCCTTATAAAAGAACAACTCAGGAAACAAGAGACTTCAAACGCCAGCCAGAAACAAAGAAATCCAGTGCCATCTAGTGACTAAAATCAAGAATAACATTATCCACACAGCAATTATGGAATGGACACTGGGGATGCAGACATGCACATGAACTGCAGCCCCTACCTGTGAGTCAATAGGACCTTCAAAAACTCAATGTGTAATCTGCAAAGGAACCTCTAAGTACATTCAGCTGAATACATTTACAGAACTGCTGTGATCAACAGTCCAGATACAGCACATCTAGCTCTTTTGCAGACCTTTATGTTAGATGTGCTTATATCCTGCTGGATTCCAGCTGTGGTGGGGACACCGCTTTATGTTAGATGTGCTTATATCCTGCTGTGGTGGGGACACCAGATGTGTGACTTGCATGCATTTGGCCATCTCTTCCTCCCATGTAGCTTTAGGTGGATTCAAGCAGAACACTTGAACAGGATTATTATGCATAGCTAGGGGTGCTTTCCTTTCTGAGTTCACTTTTAATCTCTTGTTCGACGCCAGCCTCAGAAGCCCGTGCACTGATAAGCCATACACAGCAGCCCTCAACTAAAAACCTGAGAGTGATTCATAGAATATTTAGCCACACAACCAAAACAGCTGTACTTTTTATGGAATTGTTATGATTTGGCCTGCATCGTTTACTGTCTGGAAAGATGGACATGCGGGGGATTGGAAGGAAAGCAGAACACTGCATTTAGATAAGCAAGAGGAAATAAACTAACCCATTTAACTTGATAAGAAAAGGAATGCTATATTTGAAGGGGGAAAAAAGAAAAGGAGTATTATTGTTCTCCTGTGATTATATGTTTTTATATTTTCCAGCTGAAAATGTATCTCCCTACCTGAAATATGCAAAAGCATTGCGCTTTAATACAGAAGAAGTACAAAACTTTATCTCCAAATTTGCTTCCAAAGGCTAAAAGCTGGGACAGTGATAAGTCAAGAACAAGGACCAGAAAATAAATGCAGTCACTAGAAAACAGGGGAAATTTGCTGAAGTTAGAACCACCTGATTCGTACTGATGGATAGTGGACAGAGTACAGTGGGGTCTCTACTTAAGAACTTAATCCGTATTGGAAGGTGGTTCTCAAGTTGAAAAGTTCTTATGTTGAATCTGCATTTCCCATAGGAATGCATTGAAAACCATTTAATCCGTATCTGCTCTTTTCCGTCCATAGAAACTACAGTGGAACCTATACTTAAGAACTTAATCGGTTTTGGAATGGTGTTCTTAAGTTGAAACGTTCTTAAGTTGAAGCAAAATTTCCCATAGGAATGGACTGAAAACCAATTAATCCGTTCTGGCTGTTGTTTTTTTTTTTATGTAGAGGTGCGTTCGTACAATGAAGCATTAGTTCCCATAGGAACTAATGCAAAGCTGGTTAATACGTACTCTACCACTAGGGGGGGAGAATTTTTTTAAAACCTAAGATGACCTAAGGTTAAAAAAAGAGCAGGAAAGGTTTTTTTTTCCTGTTCTTATCTTGGATTTCTGTTCTCAAGGAGAAGCAAAATTTAGCAAATGGAGCTGTTCTTAAGTTGGATTGTTCTTAAGTAGGGACGTTCTTAAGTAGAGACCCCACTGTAGATGGACTGGGACTCTGAAGAACAGGGTTTGAATCCCCACTCAGCCATGGAAACTGACTGGGGTGTGTGGGTGTGGAACTGATAAAACCACTCCTTAAGTATCTCATTTACCTGGAAAATCCTATGAGGGTCACTACAAGTCAGTTCCAACTTGATGGCACAAAAACACAAATTCACCCAAAACATGTATGGTCACATTTGTCTGCTTTGCTTTCTGTTACATTTGTGTTTTTCACTTGCACCAGCAAATTGTATATCTACCTAGCTTCCAATTTGGGGGTGGGGAGTGGAATTGAATCTGCATGGATATTTCTGTTCACTTTCATGTGCAAAAGCATATTTTCCCCTAATATTTTCCTCTTTAGTTTTCCTTTTTGCCATCTTGAACTTTTAAATCTGTTGATTTAATCATGTAATTGTTTTATGCCATATTTTGATAGTAATAATGATGCTTTTATATGATTGCATTTTATGATGTTTTTGTAACTGTTTGTAAGCTGCCCCGAATAGATTCTGTCTAGAGGGGTGGGGTAGAAATCAAATCAAATCAAATCAAATCAAATCAATCAATCAATCAATCAATCAATCAATCAATCAATCAATGTGAAGAAGACAAGAAAATATTTCTTTATCCAGCGTGTTGTCAGTCTGTGGAACTCCTTGCCACAGGATGTGGTGATAGCATCTGGCTTACATGCCTTTAAAAGGGGACTGGACAGATTCCTGGAGGAAAAGTCCATCACAGATTAGAAGCCATGATGGGGATGTATAATTTCTAGGCTTAGAACAAAGGTACCTCCAAATGCCAGATGCAGGGGAGGGGTATCAGGACACAGGTATCTAGTTGTCTCATGTGCTCCCAGAGGCATCTGGAGGGGCCACTGTGAGATACAGGAAGCTGGACTAGATGGGCCCTTGGCCTGATCCAGCTCTTCTTATGTTCTTATGTAATGTGCACATTTCTTCAAGCACTTTTCTGTAATAAAATGAAACTATGCAAAATGTACCCATTTTTACAAAATCTCATCACAAAATTCAAAGAAACAGGAAAACTGGTGGATAAATGCATTCTGGTTTGTAAATTAGTTTGAGAAGTGCAAATTAGGTCAGTTTGCATTAAAATGCATTAAAATGCAAACCAAACAAATTGCTGCCTCTAAGGATATGACTCAGAATTTTGTATATTTTCCCATGAGAACAATACCAGGAAAACAAAATGATGGCATAATATAAAAATGATTGCAAAATTAAGAAAATGCAAATGGTAAATATGCTAGTGTAAATTACTGTAAAACCCCAAGAGACCAATATTGCCTAAGGAGCCAGCTTTGTTGGTGTTGTTGAAATGCTGTACAAACATACTGACTATTTAATTAAAGCTGGCATCGCATCTTTCTCATTATGTATACTTGAGCATTGTTTGTTTGCTGGACAGTTAAAAGGATGTTTTGTAGTTGGGAGAAGACTGGAAAAAAATTACTAGGCCAAAAAGATACAATAGTGAGATGCACCGGAATTAAAGGGCTTTGACAGCATATTCAAGACCTCATTAGACAAGCTGCTTATCCGGTTTCTAAAAGCAGTGCTCCCTCAAGTGGTGAAAAACACTGGATTGTAAAAGTGCATTAAATGCAGAAATGTGTCAAAATCAATCAATTGATGGAATAGAAACGCTAGCCTCTTTCACAGCTCTAATTACTTGACATGCCTAACCACGAAGATCCTGCTTCTAGGGAAAAAATTATGTAACAGCAGGAAATGTGCATTTCCTAATACATTAGTTTTTATCATCAGGGACTTTAGCTTCAGGGTAGCTTTTGCTGTATCTTTACTATGTTCATGCAAGTTCACTATTTTCAATCATTGTGTTAAACTTCTCTTTCACAAGACTGGATTCAACGCAAAAACCGGGAAAGAACGATGATAATAAGATGGGATGTGTGCGCATAAGCACCTTGTGTCAAAACCTATTGCAACATTTCAGGGTGAGGCCCCCTGCTTCTCACACCACGGGCTGCTTATGTGTATAAAACACAGTTTAAAAGGGGGGGGTCACAGGAAGCTGTTTCATACCCTCAAAAAAGCTGCTGCTAGAAAATACAGACAATATGAACATCTCCTCACTGTGAGCCACACCACTGTTCAGAGATCTTATCGCCCTTCCACTCTTTTTTCTTCAATGTCAATCACGGGGGAAGAGTTATGTGAAACTCAAATCTATCTCACAGATGTATGATTTTAGTTGGTTCTTATAACTACGCTGTAAGAACTTTCAGTGTAAATCAATACAAATCCCTCATGAGGCCCAAAGTAGTATAGGGTGTTGGACTGTGACTCAGGAGACCTGGGTTCAAATCCCTGCCTGGCTATAGGAACTCACTCGGGAGTGGC